TGTGGCAAAGTCCAGCCACGCTTCCTTAATTATCGGGGACTTCAATTCTAAGGTTGGCTGTGTCATTGCTGTTTGTGTGTCTTACATGTTCACAACGTTTTACCTCATGAGCATTTGCCTCACTCCGCTTGATGTCCCACAAGTCCGGATGCACCCCTGCTAGCTTTCGTCACCTACCCTCGGCCTCAAGTTTGGATCAATACGACAGCGGTGCGGAACCTCCGAGAAGAGCTGTGTCGATTTCTCGACGGTTTGGGCGGTCTCCAAACGATTCTTCCTTCTTCCTTCTCTCAAAGTGAGTGAACTGCGTGATTTGCAGGATATACACTACCTCAGAGAGAGGTGCTTGAGGACACAAGTGTCACACAGTTAGTGGCAGTGGCAAGGGCACTGCGTGACGAGGGCACTGCGTGCAAAAACCCTGGTTGAGACACTGGGTTGCAGGAGAAGTCTGGCTATCCTGCAGATGCCAGGAGAGGGGGGACTTTCAGGAGATTTCAAGCAGGTCCGATGTGTTCTACACACATGCGACATACACAAAGAGACACGCATAGCTTTGTTGTGCCGGCATCAAAGTCTGGTCAACTTCCATTCGTTTCTGAACCAGTGCGGCTTTCTTTGTCCAAATTGAGTGCATGGGTCAAAGTTTGTCCAAGTTCCCTTTTGAGGATTTGGTCATCCTGGAAATCCAAGTTCTGGATTTCTAAGTTCTGATCCCTCATGTCCCCGAAGAAAGAACGCCTCAACCGCCAGGCTTCAAGCATTGCGCAAGCGCCATGCGGAGGCAACGTAAAACAACCCAGACTGGGACTCCTTTTTTGGAGCTCAGACGTTTCAGAGAGCTCCCTCTTTTGGGCCTCAAAAATACATGGAACCGTGTGGAGAGCTGTGATGGGGGTGTGATTCACGGTGTGTGGTGTCGAAGTGAAAACAGCCGAACGGGGTGAGTGGATGGAACTGATCGGAGCAGTTCTTCTTTTCTCGAAACAAACTGATCAATTGCTTCAGCTGTCAGCCAAACACGACTCGCCAAGTTCCCGACTCTTTCGTCGCTTCCTTCGTCGCTTCCGCGCAGGTCATGACTGTGTGTCGGCCGCCCAACGCGCAGCCCAAAACGGCGCCCCCAACGGCGCCCAACAGAATGCAGGCCAGGCGAACTGCCAATTTCTTTGAATCGCAAAACGAAGCTCTCCCTCTGGCATTTTTGCTCTTTGGATCGTTTTTCACAGGGAGCTCCCAGCCAAAGCTTTGGGCCTGGAGCTTAGTGGCTTAGTTGATTTGGACATGAAAAGCATGACAATCTGAACACACGATCACAGATATTCTCAATTTCTCGCATCCCTTGTCGCATCTGCTGATTCTTGTCGGGTGCGCTTGAAGCGTTCGTGCTGGCATCCGGGTCGGGCCTGCTGGATAAATCCTTGGGTTCCAACTGAACAAGTTCAACGTCGCAACTTCGGCTGTGGCGAACGTGGCCAAGCATGAGACAGACCTTTCGGAGCTCCCCCTGAAGCCTTATCAAGAGAAAGGCCCCCCCACCGTTCGGCAGTGAGTCCGTCGTCCCGAGCCAGAAGGCCAATACTGTAGCCGTCGAGAAGATTTGGTCGAGGAGACTCATGCGTTATTGGATTTGGTGATTGCGCTCCCTACTTCCTTGAAGAAAATTGAATGCATCCCTTCGCCGTGCGCAAAGCTAGCGAGTTGAAGAAGTCAGAAGGCTCTTAGTGGAGAAGGCGCTCGCAGCACGGTAGAGCCTGGGAGCTGCCACGGTAGACTCTTGATTAGTAACCATTAGCAACCCCCCCCATATGAAGAGGCTTTTCAATTCAAGTGAAGAAGGGAGGTTATGAATTCAGAGTCGACATGATTGGCCATGGCACGGACAAAGACGCATGGCGTCTGGGGCAAATTGAGAAACGC